ACACACACACACACACACACACACACACACACGAGGCACACAGACACACACACACGGACGGCTGTGTGAATGTGGTAGCTTAGGTTCAGGGTATGTTCCCTTGGTTCTGCTCCATGTAGCCGCCACCTCTCCTATTCCGGTGCATACATTATCTTTCTGGCACAGTATTTCCATTCGGTATTTCCAAATACATCCTAGTTGCAGGAATTAACAACGATAAAAGGGAGCAACATTAATCTTTTATCACTGCTTTCTCCCTCTTCTTCAATAACAGACTCTTAGTCTGCCAAGAACTTGCTGGTTGTACATAAAAGGAGGGCCCTGATCATTTTATGTTTCCAGCTGGGGAAGGATAAACAGAATCAAGATTAAAGAAAGGAAGCCAAAGAATTGTGTGTCTGAAATGAAAACTTCCTCCTGCTTCGGTGTGTTGTACCTTGGGTGACGAGAGCAGTAGATTTATTTCCCAGACAGACACAGATGATGCTGGTGTCCCCTGCAGGCTTCCATTGTTGGGTACACACCTCTGTTGGATAGGTGCATTAGTGCAAGGAAGTTGGTGGTTTGGTACCTTACGACTGTCCAGATTTTCTGGATAGGTTTTCATTCAGGTACTTTGCAACATATCAGCTGGGAAAGGAGTGGCTGGGATGCAGCTCGGCTGATCCCCTTTGGCCACCCTTCCTGGCAGCACTTGGGTTTTCAGGAAGAATTTTGCTTCCAAAGAATTAGGGAACTCTTTTAGCTTGCGAGGATTTGGAAAGATTGTGGTTTGATTGCAGTGCCAAGTCCACAACGAACAGGTGGCTGAATCGAGAAGTAGAATGTTCAAAGCTGACATTGTTTTCCTTAGAAAACTGTCAAGTGATAAGGCTTTTTAAATAAAAATCTGCTTCCTTACAAGAACCTTTTACTGAATTCCTTTCTTTCCAGGAACGGGTAATAGGATGCCATAAGCTTTGAGATTTCTTCAGAACTGCACTCAGATTAGCTTTTTTGGGAAACTGGCCATGTTGCTGTTAATGTTGCACTGTATTAAACTGGAATGTCAGTATGTTTTCTATAATTTGGGTCCGGTGGCTTATATTTTGCTTTCTTCTCATCCCAAATGAAATAACTAAGAGCACTAAATTCCTAGGCTGTCATTCACCTCAAACATCCTTTACTTGAAGGCTGTTTCAGATTTGGGAGGTTGCAACTTGCATTCATGAGTGGAATTGGTGGGGGGGGGGGGGAGACTACCGTCCTAGAGTGCCCAGCACAGCTTCGCCCTGCCCACCTGCCTTGACAGTTCTAGGAAGAGAAAAAGACCCAATGCAACTAACGTGGTTCTGGTTGTTCTCATTGAGATTAATCTTAATTGCATAATGAGTGTGGTAGAGTGTAGTCTGGATTCCAGGAGGGCGGGGCTGCTTTCCAAAAGGCAAGGGAAGGGTTGTTCGGGGAGAGTTAAGGCTCCTTCCTGGTGATTCTTAAGAGTATATCTATAGTAATACAAGTAGTTGTTTTCGTTTGGTAAGTTTTCTGTCTATAGGTGAGGAATAATAACTGCTCAGAAGTAACTCCACATGGAATGGAATAGAATAGAAATGTGGAATGGAACAGAACAGAACAGAAATATGAAATAGAATAGAATAACTTTATTGTCACTTTGAATATTACACTAATTGGCATACATTAAAAATGAAATCTAGTTGCATACAGCTCTTAAAGGGTCACCACCTCCAATTTTACACTACATAAAGATTGCAAGATAAATACATAAATGCAAAATTATGTATATACCTACATATATTATATGACACGCAGAATAGCCACATTTGTCTTGGTTCCTGGGGCCTGACAAAGGGGATGGTACTTTGGGTCACAAATGCCTGGATCTTGAGATGTTGTGGGGTAGCCTGACCCTTTGCCTGCCTGACTTCAAGTTTCCTGCTGCAAATGAAAGAGCAGAACTACAAAAAGTCGGGTGTCTTACCTAGTCCAAAGTCCAGCCGTTTGCTCTTGATTGGGTTAGGCTGGAAAAACCCTTTGCCCAAAGCCACCTCTCCTTTTGGGGGGGGGGGGGGCTATGGGCCACGTTGAAGTTGCAAGGAATGGGTGACATCCATGCTTCAGAATCATGGCCTCCTGGATTTAACTGGTGGCGAGACAGCTGCTTGTCCCAATGAGGATTCTGGATCTTAACTTTTGTTTCTTCTCCCTCCTTCAGCTTCAGACACTGATCCAGGAGGTGGATCCTGTGGCGGATTATCGTATCGATCGAGCTTTGAACGAAGCCTGCGAGTCAGTGATCCAAACAGCCTGCAAGCACATCCGTGCCGGAGATCCCATGTAGGTGGCCAAGCCCTGCCCTTTTTTGCCCGCACGTGTTTCTTTGGGGTGAGAGGGACCCACAGAGAAAGGGACGGATTCCAGGTGGTCTCTTGCAGAGGGAAGATTTGGACTAAGAAAGATTAGAAGAGATTGGTGCTGTGATGATTGTGATTGTGGCCCTTGTGACCTCTAGGCTGGAATACTGCAATGTGCTCTACATGGGGCTGCCCTTGAAGAGCATCCGGCGACTTCAGCTAGTCCAGAATGTGGCCGTGTGAGTGATTGTGTGTGCACCTCGGTTCGCCCACATAACACCTATCCTCCGCGAGCTGCGGTGGCTACCTGTTGATCTCCGGGTGTGCTTCAAGGTGCTACTTACCACCCACAAAGCCCTTCATGGTAGT